AAACATTTAGTCCTATAAGACTGTCCTTTCCATTACCATACAAGTACCTGTGTACGTCATCTGTGCTTCTGACCTACTGGCTATAACTCGGAGGTTCCAATAACATCTTTGGGTTCCATGACCTTGCTAGAGGGGGTCACAAAACACAGAGAAACACTTAACTAAAAACCTCCAATTTATCATAAAAGGATTTAACTCTGACTCTGCCAAAAGGAAGACAGTGTGGGGCATGGTTCAGAGCTCCTATGGCTTATGTGGGTGCACCCCTGTGTCAGTCACATGTCCACAACCTAGAAACTCTCCGAACTCCATCCTTTTGTAATGTCATGAAGGTGTTGTTACATAGACAAGGTTGAGTGAATCATTTGCCATTGGTCTTCTTGTCAAACTCTGACCTCAGTAACATAAGAAGACACCTTTGTTGTGCTCATCACTGAGGAAATTCCATGCATTTTAGAAGCTCTGTACCAGAAACAGGGATGAAGGCCAAGTATATAGTCCTTATGATAAATCACATCACAATGATTAAGTTATGGTTTTCATGTTAAGAAGCTAACTGTTAAAAAGATGCTAACCTGCCAAGTGTTAAACTCATCTTTTCTTTGCAATACCCTGTCTCTCTTCCCTACTTTATCCAGTCTCATTCTGCATTAGAATGGTGTCTTTTCAAGACATTAAACCAGTCACTTCCTAATTTAAGGGTAGTGTGAAACTAGACTTCTCCTCCCCTAGGCTTCCAGGTAAAGTAAGGCATCAAATGTGCCCTTCACAAGGTCAACCTCTAGACTACCTTTTGAACAGCCACCTAACCTACGGCTTTATAGAGACTATGTTGTTATGTAGTGCCCAGAAAGGAGAAGCCTCGGCCATTCTGTACAAATGGAGTAACTTTGTGGGGTGTATTAATCACCTATTCTTTTTTTTTTTTAATTTTAATAGAACTAGGGTGTGATAAAGGATTCACCAGAGATGGAGTTGGGATCAGAACAGACAAATCTACTGAAATACACTGCTGAAGGGAACAGCGGATCAGACAGGAGATGCTGTGGCATATGTGGGTCATCTCCCTGACTGGGGATCAAACTCAGGCCTCTTGGTGGTGACAGTGCTGAAACTTAACCCCTAGGCCACTAGGGAGACTCAATAATCACCTATTCTGGATGAGAGTTAATTAAAAATAGTTTGTCTACAAGTACACAGCAATTAGCAAGTATATATTAAACACTGTAAGAATTAGAAAATGTTTAAAACAATCATCATCCCTTAGTTATCAGTAGCACCTTACAGACCCATCTCTATCATGCCTTTTTAGGAACAGATATGATATTCAAAGATACTGTGTAGTTTATACGTATTTTAATGTATAGATAAGGCTTATAGCCTTGTTCCAGAGTTTGATTCTGCCGTATTTGACAGTTTATTTTAAAGTTCTGTATGAAGTTAAACTTTTGAAAACTTAGTATGTGTATATATGTATACCTGATTTTGTTTATATGTAATCACATACATGCATACCTATGTGTACCCATATATGTATGTGTATAGGAAGATACACAAGAGACAAAGACAACAGAGATAGGAAATGAGGATGTCTAAAGCATGCTATTATAACCATGATTTTTTTAATACTCAACAAAACTAGGGCAAAACTAGGTAACATTATTTGATTTGTGGGGGGGGGGGGACTTGCTTTCAACACCAGAACAAGGTAATTAAATGTATGTATTCACATCTTTGGCTGTAACAACAGTTAAGTATACTCCTGGCATCCAGCAGAGAGACCAGAAAACATATTGCCATGTACCTTTAAATTTCATCTAACCTTTAAAATTCATTTATTTTAGAAGTTATAATATCTGTCTTCAGGTTTTGGTCAATAAAAATGACCTTCTGGACTGGCAGGTGTTGGAAAAGATTGTGTTTTTTGTTTATCCTTATATTCTATATGTGGTCAAATTCTTGTGTGTGGACAAATATTAATGCATATATATTGGTGCATAGCTCTTCCGGAAACCATAAATATGGGTCTAAAGATGCATAATACAATTTAGTAAGTAATCTAAAATTATGTTTTCCCGTCTAGAATCAATTATTATGGTTGATTTAGTTCAATAACAGGTGCATAGGCATCTCCTGGATGTCTGTCACTTTGTGAGATGTTCTGCAGAATATAAACGTAGCATCAACTTCATTTCTTGACCTTGAGAATTTTGCAATCTAACCCAAGAGATAAAGATATCCTGAGAACACCATTTGGTTACAGAGAAAAACAGCATATGTTTAAAAGTGTGAAAATGAGTAACTAGTATCACAAGAGTTTAAAGAACAGAAAAAGAATTGAGTTGACCCTTAACAGACCAATGGATAAAAATTTACTATGAAAAAGCAATGAAGGTAAAATACTGTAAGGAAAGAAAAAGTCATATGAACAAACGTAAGAGAAGACCAACCATGAACAGGCTCATAGGGAGTAAAAGGACTACCCTGACTGAATAAGGTGATATATTAGAACTGCTATAATGTGGCCAAATTATGATGAGGATTAAAGAATGAGTGAATAGATGTAGGACTACCCTGTAAAATATCTAAGTGTGTGAATGGGATAAAAAATGTTATCTACTGCAATTTGAAATCATTCATTCACTCTATCATGCTTAAGGTGATTATTTAGCTTAATGTGGTTTAGCATCATTTTCCCACAAGTTCAGACCTTTGTACTATATAAAGCCACACTCTGACCTACATAGTGCACCAAGTATTACATAAAAGTGACCATCAGCAAAGGTGAGGCAAATATAACCATAGCCCCAGGTAGCCTTCCCCCTTGTGACTATAAAGTTAGCAAGAGTCCTCATTTCAGAAAAGAAGTGCTCTAATTAAAGAAAGTGCTCTAACTAATATCTTAATATTTTGCTTTTGTCAAGGGACTAAAAGAATAAGTGTTCTGTTGGTCAAGGTGTCTTGTAGGAGACAGAAATGAGTTAATGTTGTTAAGCATCATTAGATTCATTTCAGTGTACATTTATTGAGCTAGTAAATAAATGAAAGAAGGAATAAATCATTGTCTAAAAAGAATTGTTTACATTACACTTATCATAACTACTTGTAGGATAAACTTTCCTGACTAGAGACCCAGGAATTCAAACTTTAGAGAATAAATGAATTTTTTGTTAGGTATAAGAAGAGCTTCAATGAAATAACAATTAATGATTAATTAGAATGCCCAAGATAGATGGAAAAATGTTCAATTCAAATAAAATACTATCATAATATAAATAGTACAGTCAAATTAGTCTCACAGCAAGAATTCTTAAGCCCTCATAAAAGAAGCTTTTGATAAATGTTAACTCACCTAAAAGCTGTTGCATAGACATCAGTTCAGTTACACATTACAGTCTTACTTGTGGTGGCTTAGCCAAATGGAGATTTGATGTTCTTTAAAGATAATTTGAGAAGAGAATGGACAAAGCTCTTAGAGTGGCTCCATGATGCAATTTAGAACAAAGTTCATCGTGGTTTTCTGATAAGCATTCTTAGGTGATTTCCAGTTACATTGTATTGTCCAGAAATATGCCACCTGGCCACCCCATGTAAGCTGAAAAATAAAGTTTTGAATTGTATACATTGCAGTCTTAATAAAAGTATGGAAGAAGGGGAAGAAATAAGCAATCAACTACCAACAACACAAAATTAGTGGTTAGAGTGTGACATCAACCATTATAATTTGTTAAAGGACTCCTAAGTGAATTGGGAACCCCAATATCCAGGTGCCATACACAGTCCATCTTCCAGGTTTTCTTGAACTAATTTATCTCATGCTTTAAGTTACATTTTTGTCTAAGAATTTCTTGGAACATAGTCCAAGCACAGCTTAGATCTATTCGTAGAAAAGATATATATGTAGTATTGCTACACTTACCAAGGGCAAGAATGACCTATAAAGATTTCTACTTACTCAGAAAGCTGCCTACCAGTTGATAGGTTATGGTTGGTTAGTGACAGAGCTAATGCAAGAAAGTGAAAAAGGGAGAAATAGCAAGAAGGGTATAACCTCTTCACTTTCCCAGAGAATTTCTGCTGTTTGAAGTAAGAAACAAGTGGTGAAATGTCACAAGTGGTCAAGAAAACCAGCTCAGTATCTCAAAGTATCTGGCACATAGAGCTTTGTCCATGCTCTTCTCAATTTGTTGATCAAATTCTATCAGAGAATACACAAAAATGGGCTTAAAAAAATTCTCCATTTACTTTATTTAAGCAGTCAAACATCTGATTAGCACCCATTCTGTGTGAATAAAAGTTCTGAAGCACCAGAGTAAATGCTTGCAATGACCTCTCCTCTCAAGGTCCTGCCCTGCTTCTAAGTGACCTGGCACATTGTGTTGGGACTCATACGTGCAATGTTGACTAGTCAAATTTATAAGAATCGGTTTCTAAGCTATTTGGTCACCAAACAGATGGTTAAAATCATACAAAATCAATGTAAAGCCAAATTAAAATCAATTTAAAATTGTGTTTAACATTATTTTATAATTTCCCAAATCAGCTTGTAAGTCAGTTTGAAATGGAAGTTAGCTGTTCTACCGGACAATACATTAATTGATCAAACTCGGAAATCATGTTGAAGGGTATTCGAAGCTACAGAAACAACAACTTCAACCCTTAACATTTAATGATCCATTCAGGGAGACAGTCTATGTACAGAGGGCAAAAAATCATGTCACGATGTCACCTTTATCTCACAATTTGTCAAGTTAATAGAAGAGACAACACATGCTTCATTTTGCTTAGAATACCAATAAATTTGGACTTCGTTAAAGTGAAAACATGAATTCAGATATATCCTGTTATGTATTCCAGAGTTTGAAACCCTAATAGGAGGTTCATAACACTTTGAAAAATCAGAGTATAAAGTAATATTTAGCATAGATAATTCAGAAGGACTTCACTTGAACAATAGAAAGAAATAAAAACAATTCTTTTTCTTCTTCTTTTTAAATTAGGTCATGGAACTAAAGGAGTATTTGAGCTTCTGTCTGGATGGCGGAGGACCAGAGAGAATTTGCCCTTCAAAGATAGGGTCGCAGATGCCTACTCTGATGTGATGGTCACCTACACCATGACTAGCTCCCTGTACTTCATTACCTTTGGCATGGGAGCCAGCCCTTTCACAAATATAGAGGCTGTGAAGGTTTTCTGTCAGAACATGTGTGTCTCCATTCTGTTGAATTACTTCTACATTTTCTCCTTCTTTGGCTCCTGTCTAGTCTTCGCTGGCCAACTAGAGCAAAACCGCTACCATAGCATCTTCTGCTGTAAGATCCCTTCTGCAGAATACTTGGACCGCAAACCTGTGTGGTTCCAGACGGTGATGAGTGATGGGCATCAACAGACATCCCATCATGAGACCAATCCCTATCAACACCACTTTATTCAACACTTCCTCCGTGAACATTACAACGAGTGGATTACCAATATCTACGTGAAGCCATTTGTTGTCATCCTCTATCTCATTTACGCCTCCTTCTCCTTCATGGGGTGCTTGCAGATCAGTGACAGAGCAAATATCATCAACCTGCTAGCCAGTGATTCCCCAAGCGTTTCCTATGCCACAGTTCAGCAGAAATATTTCAGCAACTATAGCCCGGTGATAGGATTCTACGTCTATGAGCCCCTTGAGTACTGGAATAGCAGCGTCCAGGAGGACCTGCGGAAACTCTGCAGTGGGTTCACTGCAGTATCCTGGGTGGAACAGTATTACCAGTTCCTGAAAGTTAGCAATATCAGTGCCAATAACAAGAGTGACTTTATCAGCGTCCTGCAGAGTTCCTTTTTGAAAAAGCCAGAATTCCAGCATTTTCGAAATGATATCATCTTCTCCAAGGCAGGGGATGAAAACAACATTATTGCTTCCCGGCTATATCTGGTGGCCAGGACTAGCAGAGACAAGCAGAAGGAAGTCATAGAAGTGTTGGAAAAGTTGAGACCCCTGTCCCTCTCAAAGAGCATCCGGTTCATCGTGTTCAACCCCTCCTTTGTGTTCATGGACCACTATGGCTTGTCTGTCACAGTGCCTGTTCTGATCGCAGGCTTTGGTGTTCTCCTGGTGTTAATCCTGACATTTTTCCTAGTGATCCACCCTCTGGGAAACTTCTGGCTAATTCTTAGTGTCACCTCAATAGAGCTGGGCGTTCTGGGCTTAATGACATTATGGAACGTCGACATGGATTGCATTTCTATCTTGTGCCTTATCTACACTTTAAATTTTGCCATTGACCACTGTGCACCGCTGCTTTACACATTTGTATTAGCAACTGAGCACACCCGAACACAATGTATAAAAAGCTCCCTGCAAGAGCATGGGACAGCCATTTTGCAAAATGTTACTTCTTTTCTTATTGGGTTGGTCCCCCTCCTATTTGTGCCTTCAAACCTGACCTTCACACTGTTCAAATGCTTGCTGCTCACCGGGGGATGCACACTTCTGCACTGTTTTGTTATTTTACCTGTGTTCCTAACCTTTTTCCCCCCTTCCAAAAAGCACCACAAGAAAAAGAAACGTGCCAAACGAAAGGAAAGAGAGGAAATTGAATGCATAGAAATTCAAGAGAACCCTGACCATGTAACCACAGTCTGAAGGGCGTAGACTAATGGATTCTTTTTCTTTTCCAATTGCACAATGATGCAGGGCAAGTAAAGCTCAGACCTCAGCTGCTTGGGCTGGCCAGGGGTAACAAGGCAAGTCAGATCAAGAGTGAATTATTCATGACACCCAAGGTATTCACTTCTTGAGGGGAAAAGGGAATTAAAGAAGGGGGAGAAGCTCTTTGTTACCTTGTTCTCCACTAAAGATAAGCTTCTGGATGTGATCTTTAGAACTCCTCCAGGAAATGGATGAATCCATGGAGTTTTAGAAGGCAAAAAGAACCAGCTGCTTTGAAAAAGAAATGCTTAGGCAAGATGGAGAAGAGAGGAAAGGGGGCCTCCATCTAGGGGAAAAAGCAACCTAAATGTCAACATTGCCATGGCTCTTTTCATATTTGTTTTTTGAAAAGGTTGGTCAAAGGAAACCTATGCACTTGGGAAGTACAATTTAATCCCATATAAACCAAAGGACTTCCCGATCCATTTTATGTGTACATTTATGTATATATGATATATATACATATACTAAGATTTGTCTTTATTATGCATTGACATTTGTGTGAAGGGAGGTGTTCATTTCCAGATTAACTGATCTTTCTCTAGAAAGTCAAATCAGCCTTGGCCAAATATAAATGCATAGTGCCCATTCAAAAATCAATTCAAGTGTTTCAATAGCAAAAGCATCATTCAATTCTACAATAAGCAAAAAGAGGGAGTTAGAGATCTAGTTTTATATATTATGCTGTCTGATTTTGAGATGACTTCACACACACACAAAATCATATTGAACTAATTACCATGTGGATGGGGTTTAAAATTTCATGGCAGAGCTAACTAGTTTATATGACTTCTCATTGGCTTTGACTGGTTCTCTGTCTTTTAAAAAGGCTGATTTGGCTGCTTTTAGAGAGCATGCCCACTGTAAATGAGCACTTTGCACATGTTATTTTCACCTGTGTGCGTGAGAGAGCGAGAGTGTGGGAGAGCAAGAGAGAGGGAATATTCCATAGTTACGGTATTTTCGTATTAGATGATAGAAATATACTGCCACTGGATGTATAGGAGAAAGGAGACATAAGTAGGAAACATCTTACAAGTGAAATGGGCCATCCATGGTCATCATAGGCCATCCACTGGTTCTTACTGCAAAGAAGTTATGCTAATCCTATCAAGTCTAGTGTGCTCCTTGCATTAGTATTTGGAACAGTAACCCAGGCCACAATCACTACATTAGTGGTCACTCTAACTACTGCAATATCAATGTTGCTTGGTAGCTTCTTGCCATGTTATTGTTTTTGTTGCTGGAAAGTTCTTGCCACCTTCTCCCTCCAATGGCCATAGTTCTCCCCTGGGGGTGTATTCACTGTAATAACTGCTGAATCTTCTCACAAAAAAAAATACTGAGGTAACTGTTTTCATTGAGTTAAAGTTAAAATTGTTCCCCAGCAGATAGACTCAGTCTGTTGGGAGTTTCCTGGATTAATGCTGTGTTTCCTGTCAGAAAATTATTAGAAAATGCCTTTTCCCATACCAAGCAGTAAAATAAGTTCATTTACAGGTAGGACTGAACAAAAGTCCATGATTTATAAAATCTTCTAGTAAGCTCTTTCACCTACAAGAGAACTACTATTTCCCAGCAAATTTGGTAATATATTTTAATTGAATTAAAAATGTAAAAATAAAAAAAGAAAGAAATCCTGGACTCAGTTAAATTCAGAAAAGATTACACAAACCATTCCAGCCCAGTACAGTTTGAAAAGGAGGGTGATAGTTTAATGGAGTAACATGACAAAACAACTGTATTTTTACAAGTAAAAATTTACCAGCACATTAAGCAGAAGGAGAATTATCTCCAAAATGAGAACTATTTAACCAAATTATATTTTATTGAATGGAGTGTTTTGTCCTACCTTGAGAGTTTCTGGTAGAAATAACCCATGTCTTCTCAATTATGTTCATCTGGGTGTAATATGAAAAGATCAAGTATGGAAAATAATTTCTATAATATATATGGTTACTGCCTTTATAATATCATAAAGTCCTGTCACAGATAGCCTAGCTTGTTTGCCTCCTGAATTAGTCTGCTAGGATGAGCTGGTATTTAGCAAGAGTAAACCTCTAGACCATGATCTCATAATCTCATATCTGAAGCAGCAGTGTCTGATGTACTGGATTTGGGGTGGGAGCATTCTTCCACAGCATACTCATGACTCATGAAAATGTGTCTTGTATCTCTTTTTAAAGACAGAAGGCTATCAGCAGAGAATTTCATTAACTGTTGATCCACTTCTTTCCATGGTGTGTCATACTCTATTCACCAGCTCTTTTAAAGGTTGTCCACGGTGGTCATTTTTTTCTTAATTACCATGGACAACTTCATATGCAAAGAAGATTGGCAGTATGATTTAAAAAAATAATAATAATAAGATTGCCAGTAGCCAGGTGTATATGGTGATAGAGGTATATGTTGCCGACGCCTGGAGCAGTTCTAGCCCCATGTCTCCGCCTATTAGATAGTCCTTACTTGGATGTAGAAAAAAGATTTTTTTTTTTTTTAGTTGTTATCTTGCAGCAACAGAGCGATCAAGATAAACATGAATTTCTCATTGTTCAAGTGACTAGATGGGTAGAATTTGGAATGGACATTATCTTTTCTAGGATACCATGCAACTCATTAGTGAACTATAGCAATAATTTACTGGAATGGAATTTCTATTCTGGGAGAGTTAATATCGCACCCAAAATGCCCCAGTACAGTCCTAAGAAATAATTTAGGCTTGGAAAGAATCTAACAGAGCATCATCTGACCTCCCAACCTCACTGTGAAATACATATTTCCAAGAATCTCACTTCCTGAATGCTAGGATACACCCTAAAATATGAGATCATGATTTGCAGGTAATTTCCTAGTTTTGTGCAACTTTTGCTAACTTGTGTGCAACTATTCCCTAGTTTTTCAAGCTTATTCCTGTTATTTTGTCCATCTGTAAAATACTGAGAGTATTCAAGTTAGGAACTTACCTACTGCGACAAAATGATGGATCAGCTCCTAGAAGAAAAGAAACCTGTGGTAAATACCTCAAAAAATATATTTAGTTGAAATAAATTTTCCCTTAATGTAAGAGATTTCTAAAGTTTGCAAAATTGCACCTTTTCTGAATTTAACCTGGAATGTGGATTTGTTGCCTCCCAACAGAATTTACATTTGTATTAGAAAGTACCTTAAGAGTTCTACTCTTCATGATTAGTAAAGCTTCAAAGAGGCACTCACCTAAATTACAGAAAGAAATTTGAGTAACAGTTATATTCCTCACCTCTTATGGTTAAGGATAATCATATGCTAGATTAGACCATGTATAACTAAAGAAAGATGAGTTTAAACGTCATCCATGAATTCTCCCAGGGATTATGAACCTCTTTGAATGTTGTGCATGAATATTCTATAAGAGAATTATACTTTGCTATGGTTGTATCCTGTGAGTGTTCTTTCCCATTTGATTCTGATTTACTTCCAGATTTTCAGTTTTAACCAATGAGGTTAGAAGTATTGTGAAGTGATGCTATAATAGCCATTCTTGAATGTTGAATTCAAGAGGGTAAGAGTTTTGTCCATTTTGTAATTACCCATTGCACCTTGCCATAATAAGCTAATCCTTCTAGGCTTGTGTTAGAGCTAGGGATTAACTATTGCCATTCAGAATTACATGTATTTTTATAAGTTGGCTGTAAATATTATTACAGTCACATATTTTTATGACCAAATAGCTATGAATGCCCAGCACTATGCATGCATTGGAACTAATAGTATATAGATTTTTAACTAGTACTAATAGTACTATTTTCATGGTTATTGCAACTTTTATTAAAATTCTTATATCACCTATTCATCAATGCCTTGTAGGTTTGGGCTCCAAGGACCTCAAGTCCATAGAAGCCACACCAATGAAAACAATTCAACAGTTACCCTCCTAGGGGTCAATAATAGCAATCTCTTCTAGAATGTCCTCTGGAAGTTCCTGGAGGCTAGATATGGCTTCCAGATTCTGTGTTAGTTGGCGACTAAGCATACTATAATGTCCTCTGTTCACCAATCTCATGGCAAATCAGATAATACACTGCCTTAAGATTGGAATTTAGATGTTGTCTCCTGGGTATTGGCAAATTCAGTTATTTGCTCAAACTCTTTTAGAGGAATCTCTGTTCAGCCTATTTTGTTGGTATTTAAAGATGGTATTGAAAGCCTTTCAAATGTGAACGTAAAAACTGTCATTTATTCAAAATCAGTTTTAGAAGTATTTTTTCTCTTTAAAAACAAAAAACCGTATTACAGCAAATTTCATGACATTGACTCAATCACTTTAAGCAATGATCTGCCAGTATATTGAAGAGGAGGGAAATTAGTTAGATTGTGTTTTTAACAGTTTTTCTGCAATTACATTAATCCAAGTGAAAGTAGCCAGGTTATAAATGAAAACAACAAAACCACTTTGCATCAGGTCCAGATTGAATGGGACTATGTACAACTATTTGTTGTATAGTAGCAACAAATTACTTTGCTATGTACACTGAATGGCCCACCATCATGTACTAGTTAGATATGAACTGTGGTGGGTTTGGATGGGTAACATTTAGAAAAGATAGAAAGCATGTTGAGAAATGAATCCACCAGTTTATAAATCAAGATGCCTGTCAGCATCATAGAAAAGGAGGGGAAATTCCACATATTTTACAGTTTAGGATATAGTATAGATAACTGCATGGTGCCTCAGTACTATAGATTCTTAGCTACTAGCCAAATTGATCATATGCAAATATAGCACACACAAAGATTGTCTTATTTGTCAGATAGATTACCAAACATTTCCAGGAAAATGCTGCTGAGTGTCCAAGCACAGCCAAAGCTATAGGTAAAATAGTAAAGGTAGAAAGACTCCTGGAAAAGAAGCTTCAAGTAAGCATCCAGATAGGCATTATTTTCATTCCCAGGGATGGCTGCTGACCACTGCTTTTATTTTGAACATCTTTGAGATCTATAGTGAGACTTTTTAGATAACTATTCCCTGTGTTTAATTAGGACCTTTCTGTTGCTGGTAGTCGCTTGCTTTTCTTGTGAAATGGAAAATATTCAAGGAGAGAAATATATAGACTCAAAAATCATATATTAGAATAGTACAAATGACTAATCTATGGGTAATATCACAACTCTTCTGTACCTCTAAAGATGTCAAAATTAAAGGAGCAATCACTCTAAATTGGAAATTGCT